TCTGCAGGGGGACAGAATGGGAGCGGAGTCACTGCCAGCAGCCAGATTCCCATCTCCTCTTGCCCTCACTCCCCACTTGCTCCATCACAGGCTTCAAACTGCATATTAGGACGCTCCCCATGGCTACAAAGCCCAGGGAAGGTGCAATCACACAGGAACACCAGCACTTTGTACAAACAGCACTCAGGTCTTGTTTGTTGTTCTCTGCCTCAGTAAACCAGCCACTTCCCCCACCACAGAGGCCACGAGATCAGCCATGGGTCCACTGCAGCCTTCCCCAGAGGTTTGAAGCTTGTAAAGTGTTTGTTTTCCCCTTCTCTTCCTCTTCACCCACCCCAAATACACCCGGAGGCTTCCTGACAGTGGCACCAGCACAGCTCAAGGGTATGTGCTGCTGTCACAGCTCATCAGCCCGACCACGCGTGAGCATGAGCCGGACACGTGAGGTCATGGAGCTGCTCTGCTGCGCTGGAGGGGCAGATGTGCCCAGACAGGGGCTGTTCACGGCTAAGGAATAGCCTGAGGAGAAGGATCCCGTGCAGCAAGGGTTGGAGTTGTGAAGGGAAAATGCCCATTGTTGGCATGGGAGAGACTCGGAGCAGCAAATCACCTCCCAACAGCCGTGTGAGCTGGGGGTGCATGAGCTCTGCAGGGGCCAAGGGATGATGTTCTGCCCTACTGGAGCAAGGAACCAAACATGAACTGAAACTGGCCCCTGTGCTGGAACAAGCCCGAAACAGCCAACCTGAACCACAGCTTCATACCCAGCTAAGCCCAAAGGCAGGGCAGGGCAGGGCTGAGCCCAGGCTGGGGGCTGGCAGCAAACTGAGCCACCTCCACTGCTGCTGAGCCCAGACCCTAATGGGGAACGTTCCTCAGGTCAGTGCAGCTCCCCCACAGAAGGCAAGAGGCTCCTGGAGCTGTCGAGATGTCCCAAAGGGCCGCAGGCAAAGAAATCCCAGCCTCTGGCTGAAAAACCTGCCCCTTTCTGAGGGTGTTCCTCACCTTCCTCCTCCTCTCCTGCTCCTGCTCCTTCAGGGCCTCCAGCACGGTCCGAGCCTTTTCAAAGGGAGGGATCTTCAACCTGAGAGAGTCAAAGAATTCCAGAACAGTTTGGGTTGAAGGGACCTTAAAGCTTCGACCCCCTGCCATGGGTAGGGACCCCTTCCACTAGAGCAGCTTGCTCCAAGCCCCTGTGTCCAACCTGGCCTTGAACACTGCCAGGGATGGGGCAGCCACAGCTTCTCTGGGCACCCTGTGCCAGCGCCTCAGCACCCTCACAGGGAAGAGCTTCTGCCTAAGAGCTCAGCTCAGTCTCCCCTCTGGCAGGTTCAAGCCATTCCCCTTGGCCTGTCCCTACAGGCCCTTGTCCAAAGCCCCTCTCCAGAGGACCTCAGCCCTCAGTTCTGGCACTTGCCCCTGTCTACCAGGTGAGAAGCCACCATTAAAACTCTGCCAAACTCCTGCTGCCCAAGCCTCTCCCCCCCCCCCCCCCTTACCTGTACAGGATCTCAGCACGGAGATAATTCCCAATTCCATTGAAAAACTTCTGGTTTAAGAGGGCCTCACAGATGGGCTTGTCAAAAGCTTTGTCCTCCAGGTTCTTCAGCACGTTCTCTCTGCGGGGGAGTGCATCAGGACGCTCACCTCAGCTGAAGCCGAGCTGGGGGCTCTCCCCGTGCCTAGTGGATGCTCACCTGAAGGCCTGGTACTCGGAGAGGACGCAGGGCCCGCGGCCCTCCTGCCAGGCGTCCCCCAGGCGCCACGACCCGAAGCGACGGACATCGATGAAGCAGAGGACGCGCGGGGGGCTGTCGCGGGTGCGGAACCGGAGGTGCGCATGGCGCGGGAGCTCGGCGGCGGGGCACAGCCGGAACGAGCCCGACATGCCGAAGCGGAAAACCAGCTCCTGGGGGGCACCGGCGGAGCCCAGCGGGGTCAGCGTCAGGCGCAGCTCCTTGCCCCGGGCGGTGGCAGAGATGCGGTAAGCCTCGCTGCTGAACGGCACCTCCGGGCCCCTGCCCACCGCAGAGCGCTCCACGCCGCCCGAGAACACCAGGGCGCCGCACGCCTCGTTGATGTAACGCCCGGCCAGGTGCAGCTCCGGGCACTCGGGCATGGCCGCAGGACCGGAGGGACCGGACCCGGCGGGACATGGGCACCGGACGCACCGGCGGAACGCACCGCCCCGGGGGACACGCCCCCAACCATGCCCCGCCCCTCGCTCCCCATTGGCTGCACGGCCCGCGGTGCACGCCGGGAGTTGTAGTCCAGTCTCGCAGCCCATGCAACGGGCCGCGGTGCCTGTCGGGAGTTGTAGTCCACCGGAGGAACGGGCACACCACAGCGCGTCTGTCACGGACACCTTTATTGGAGCTGGCTCCGGGCGCACCGGGACTTCTCGCCGGGCTCAGCTCAGCGTGTTCATCAGCGCCTGCGCCTGCTTCAGCTCTGCGGAGACACGGAGCAGGCCATGGGGGAGCCGCTCTGGCGGCTCACCCCTGCTGCCACCTCCCCTCCTGCGGTCTCACCTGCCAGCAGCACCCGGAACTTGTCGGCCGACACGGCCATGGGCACAGCCTCTGTGCTCCCGCGCTGCCCGTCCCGCACGGTGAACGTCAAGTGCACGAGGGGCTCGTGGACCTCCTGCAGCTCGCTGGAGCTGAGGGTGTAATCCACGCGCCAGCACACCGAGCCCAGCCGGCTCACTGGGGCAGGCAATGGGGCAGCATCACACACACACACCCCGATCCCAAACAGCCCATCCCTGATCCCAAACACCCCACCCTGAGACCCAACACCCCACTCTAAGACCCAAGCCATGCCACTCAAGACCCAGCCTCCCCCCCGACCCCAGAGACCAAAGACCCTCCCCAAGACCCAGTACATCCCCCCGAGACCATGGCCACACTCACATCTCAGGCTGGCAGCCCTCAGGCTGTCCTGGAGGGAGCTCTGCTTCTCCTCGTAGGACCGGCACAGCCCGCTGGCGTGTTCTGCCAGGGCACAATGAAACTGTCTGACGGCACCGACCCCACCACGGTGACACCCCCAGGGTCACCCCTACCTTTGGGCAGTCCCAGCTGCTGCAGCTCACTGGAGAGGGACTCACTGTCCACACCGTGCTTGGCAGCACTGGAGAGGATGAAGCCAAGGACAGCAATGGTGGCCTTCACATCCCCCGACTCTGCATGGGGAAGGGGTCAGCTCTGCAGCCCCAGCCACATCACTGCCCATCCCCAGGGACGGAGCTGCAGTAGGGTCCAGGGCAGCAGCACTCACCTAACTTGGCATCTGAGGTCAGCTTCAGGATCTTCTCATACTGTGGGAGAGCAGCATGTGAGGCCATCATAGTGAGCACCAGGTACTGCACAGCTCCACAGCCAACACCAGCAATCATACAATCACAGAGTGGTGTGGTTGGAAAGGACCTTAAAGCTCATCCAGTTCCAACGCCCTGCCACGGGCAGGGGCACCTTCCACTAGAATTGGTGGGTACCTCAGGAATACGACTCCATATGCTAGTGGAATCCTCACCTTAGTATTACTACTCACTACCCAAGTCACTACTGGTAGTACTGGCCGGCAGCACCCGCCGCGGAGATGCCGTTTGGAGCAAGCAGCCCAGCGGCGTCTCCCCGTCACTCACCTCCATGCTCCCGCCCAGCAGGTCCCGCAGCACTTGGGCACAGATCAGCTTCAGCTTCACCGAGGACTGCGGGAGGAGGAAGAGAAGGACAAGGGGGGTGAGCACCGGGCTCGGCGGGGCGGGTGCGGGCAGAGGTCGGGGGGAGCGGACACTTAACGATTTTGGCCAGGGTGCTGATCTCGGCCAGGACCCAGTCCGGGCAGTCCAGGTCCCCGCAGAACCGGAACCGCTACGGAAGGAAAGTGCAGTCAAAACCCGCCGCTGCCTCACCGCGCCCCACATCTCCCCCCGGCCCCCAGCCCCACCATATCGCCGGTGCCACCGCGGATCCCGCCTCCGCGACCCGGAATCGCTCCCGCGGAGGAGGAAAGCAACGCGCTCGGCCAGCCCCGCCCCGAGTGCTGCGGGGAGGAGCCGGTAGCGGCCGCCCCGCAGGCAGCGTCCGGCCTATAGGGAACGCCGGAGCACGGGTACGCCTGAGCACACAGATCGCTCCGTACACACCGTCCAAGATGGCAACACACAGCTCAACAGGAACAGCTTTATTATTGACCCTGCCCGGTACACCGCTCCCTACCCCAGACCGCCATCCCCCCGAACCGCTTCCAGTGCCGCCTTGGATGCTACCCGCGGAAAGAGCCGACCCGTGCTTACACAGCGCACAGAGGCACAGGCACCCCGCGCCCCGTCACTCCACAGCTGCCCTCTTTCAGCGTTCGCCTTTTATAACCTCAGCCCCACCCCGCCTTCCCCTGCCCAACCAATCACGACCCGCTCCTTCCCGCCTCTCCCACCTATCCCGCCCCGCCCACTTCAAACCCTCCCGTCCCCTCTCCAACCAATCGTGGCCCGCCTCTTCAATCCGGCTCCGCCCCCTCTCCGTTTCTCCGAATCCCGCCGCTCCTTTTCAATCCAGCTCCCCCCCTCCGGTCCCACCGCACATCCGCAGAGCCGCAGGGGTCGCGTCCCGCAGGGCCCACAGTGGGTGCTGAGTTCCGGGGAGGACGAGCGGGCGCTCCGCAGAGAGGGAGCTCCGGGTGCCCGTTCAAACCCACAGACCCGGGGAGCGCCGGAGGAAAGGGGCGGGCCGGATTTGGGAGAAACAGAGGGAAGAGCCGGATTGAAGGGGCGGGCGGGGATTGGGCGAAGCAGAGAGGGGGCGGGGCCGGATTGAAGGGGCGGGTCGGGATTGGGTGAAGCGGGGACGGAAGGGTTTGAAGCGGGCGGGGCTGGATGGGTGGAGAGAAGACGGGCGAGGCGGGAAGGAGCTGGCCGTGATTGGCTGGGTAGGGCGGGCAGAGGCTATAAAAGGCGAGCGCTGAGCGCCGCTGGCGCAAAGGTGGAGCGGCGGTCAGGAAGGGCGGAGGCGGAGGCGGAGGCGGAGGCGGAGGCGGAGGCGGAGGCGGAGGCGGAGGCGGAGGCGGAGGCGGAGGCGGAGGCGGAGGCGGAGGCGGAGGCGGAGGCGGAGGCGGAGGCGGAGGCGGAGGCGGAGGCGGAGGCGGAGGCGGAGGCGGAGGCGGAGGCGGAGGCCGCGTCGGTGAGCAGGGAGAGGCGCCGGGCGTGGGGCGGAGGGACACCTGCCTCTGCCCGCTGTGTGTGTAGCCGAGCCGCTGCTCAGTGCCGCGGGGGGTGTGCGAGGTGATGGCGGTTCGGGGGGATCGCGGCCTGGGAGGGGGGAGGTTGGTGGTCTGGGTCGGGCAGGGTCAATAATAAAGCTGTTGCTGTTGAGCTGTGGTGTGTACGCGGTGTGTACGAAGAAGCTTGAGTGCTGAGGTGGGACGAGGCCACTCCCCGGCGGGGGCTGCTGTCCCCGATCCCCGACGCTCCCCGTGGGGCCGGGGGCTGTCGGCGGTGTCCACCCCGTGCGGGGCTGGCGCTGCTTAGGGACGGTGTCAGCCCCCGAGAGAGGCCTGAAAGCGAAGCTCGGAGCTGGGCCGCGGCGCCGGGGGCCGGCCGGGGTGAGGGGCGGGTCCGGGTGGGGCAGCCCCGGCTGAGGCGTAGCGTCCGGCCGCTGGTTTCCCGCCTCGTTCGAAGACCAGCACTGCTGGGAGCCGGGGTATCCACGGGGCGGGAGCTGAGTTCACGGCTGGGGATGAATTGGATGCGGTAGAGCTGGAACTGGCCTGAGGCAGAGCTGGTGTTCAATCACTGAGTATGGTGTAGGGAATAAAGTTTGTAGGAATGACCTGAAATCACTGAGGCCTGGGATATCCTGAAGCAGGCCTGAAGTACAGATTCTGAACCAAATGTGATAAGTCACAAAGCCTGAAATGAGAGTGCTGGAGAACAAGGCTTGTGGGAATGAGGTGAAAGCACTGAGGGTGGATCTTGGGTGGCGCTGGGATAAGAGAGGGCTGGTTTGGAATGAATTTCCTAGAGCTGGAAAGTACGGCTTGTGGGAATGATCTGAAACACTGAGTGTGGGGCTGGATCTGGATAAATCCCATAGGATTGAGCTGAACTAGAGACACAGGGTTGGAGCTGGGATCTCCTGGAGCTGGGCTGCTATAGAGACCCTAGAGCCAGAGCTGAGCCTCCACAGAGCCAGGGCTGGAATGAAAGCAGTGGGGCTGGAGAATAAAGCTTGTGGGAACGAGGTGAAATCACTGAGGGCTTGGATCTTGGCTGGGGCTGCAACTTGGTGGGGGCTGGAGATGGAATCTCAGCTGGAGGTGAGATAAGGCAGAGCTGGACTGGAATGAATCTTCTGGAGCTGGAAAATAAAGTTTGTGGGAATGAGCTGAAATCGCTGAGTGTGGGGCTGGATCTGGATAAATCCCATAGGACTGAGCTGAACTAGAGACAGGGTTGGAACTGGGATCTCCTGGAGCTGGGCTGCTATAGAGACTCTGGAGCCAGAGCTGAGCCTCCACAGAGCTGGAGCTGGAATGAAAGCACTGGGGCTGGAGAATAAAGCTTGTGGGAACGAGGTGAAATCACTGAGGGCTGGGATCTTGGCTGGGCTTGGAAGAGATGGCCAGGTCTGGAAAGAAAGCACTAAGGCTGGAGAATAAAGCTGGTGGGAATGAGGTAAAATCACTGAGGGCTGGGATGTTGGCTGGGGCTGGGAACTTGGTGGGGGCTGGAGATGGAATCTCAGCTGGAGGTGCTATAAGGCAGAGCAGGACTGGAATGAATCTCCTGGAGCTGAAAAATAAAGCTTGTGGGAATGAGCTGAAATCACTGAGAGCTGTGTTTTTTTCTGGGGCTGGGACCATGGCTAGGGCTAGAGATGGGATCTCAGCTGGAGCAAGGATAAGGCAGCTGGTTTGGAATGAGTCTCCTGGAGCTGGAGAATAAAGCTTGTGGGAATAAGCTGAAATCACTGAGTGGGGCTGGATCTGGATAAATCCCATAGGACTGAACTGGAGACACAGGGTTGGAGCTGGGATCTCCTGGAGCTGGGCTGCTATAGAGACTCTGGAGCCAGAGCTGAGCCTCCACAGAGCTGGAATGAAAGCATTGGGGCTGGAGAATAAAGCTTGTGGGATTGAGGTGAAATCACTGAGGGCTGGGATCTTGGCTGGGACTGGGATCTTGGCTGGGCTTGGAAGAGATGGCCAAGTCTGGAAAGTACTGGGGCTGGAAAATAAAGCTGGTGGGAATGATGTAAATCACTGAGGGCTGGGATCTTGGATGGGGCTGTGAACTTGGTGGGGGCTGGAGATGGAATCTAAGCTGGAGGTGGGATAAGGTGGAGATGGACTGGAATGAGAGTGCTGGAGCTGGAAAATAAAGCTTGTGGGAATGATCTGAAATCACTGAGTGTGGGGCTGGATCTGGATAAATCCCATAGGACTGAGCTGAACTAGAGACACAGGGTTGAAGGTGGGATCTCCTGGAGCTGGGCTGCTATAGAGACTCTGGAGCCAGAGCTGAGCCTCCACAGAGCTGGAGCTGGAATGAAAGCACTGGGGCTGGAGAATAAAGCTTGTGGGAACGAGGTGAAATCACTGCAGACTGGGATCTTGGCTGCAGATTGGAGCTGGGTTAAGGCAGAGCTGGACTGGAATGAATCTTCTAGAGCTGGAAAATAAAGCTGGTGGGAATGAGCTGAAATCACTGAGAGCTGTGGTTTTCTCTGGGGCTGGGACCATGGCTAGGGCTAGAGATGGGATCTCAGCTGGAGCAAGGATAAGGTAGCTGGTTTGGAATGAATCTCGTGGAGCTGAAAAATAAAGCTTGTGGGAATAAGCTGAAACACCGAGTGTGGGGCTGGATCTGGATAAATCCCATAGGACTGAGCTGAACTAGAGACAGGGTTGGAGCTGGCATCTCCTGGAGCTGGGCTGCTATAGAGCCAGGGCTGGAATGAAAGCACTGGAGCTGAAGAATAAAGCTTGAGGTGTTAGCGCGGGAACAAACACATAACCACCGGAATGGTTGTATGAGGTGCTTTATTGCAGCGCTGGGAAACCAGGGGTACGCACCCAAATCTGGTTCCAACCTCGTCACATCGCGTTCGCAATTTATACACGTTTAACACGGATTACAACATTAGCTAATGCATATGCATTAAGGACGGCCACATCAGGAGTGTTACGGCACCAGCCTCTTCTACGCTTGCGCAGCCCCCTCTGGTGGTCGTTCCGGTGAAGTAAGGAGTCTTCCTCTTTACCTTTTCCTTACTTGGATATATCCCAACCCTTGTGTGGACGCTAGCATTTTCTCATCAGCTTCTGGTATGCTGTTCTGGCTACCTTATGCATAGGTTCTACTTGGGTATAGTCTCCAGTACATGCCTTTCTAAATTCACCCATACACAGAGATTTTTGCTACTAAGACTATCATTGCAACACTGGTTACAGAACAGCCGTGATACAAAACTGCAAAGTTACAACATTTTCTAATATACAAAACCCCACTATTGATTTATAAATTTCTCAATCAATCATTTCTACTATTTTATATAATTGTTTTATCATAAAGGCTTTGCCCTTTTCCAACAGTGGGATTGAGGTGAAATCACTGAGGGCTGGGATCTTGGATGGGACTGGGATCTTGGTGGGGCTTAGAAAAGATGTCCAGGTCTGGAAAGAAAGCACTGGGGCTGGAAAATAAAGCTGGTGGGAATGAGGTAAAATCACTGAGGGCTGGGATCTTGGATGGGGCTGTGAACTTGGTGGGGGCTGGAGATGGAATCTCAGCTGGAGGTGGGATAAGGTGGAGATGGACTGGAATGAGAGTGCTGGAGCTGGAAAATAAAGCTTGTGGGAATGAGCTGAAATCACTGAGTGTGGGGCTGGATCTGGATAAATCCCATAGGGCTGAGCTGAACTAGAGACACAGGGTTAGAGCTGGGCTGCTATAGAGACTCTGGAGTCAGAGCTGAGCCTCCACAGAGCTGGAGCTGGAATGAAAGCACTGGGGCTGGAGAATAAAGCTTGTGGGAACGAGGTGAAATCACTGAGGACTGGGATCTTGGCTGGGCTTAGAAAAGATGGCCAGGTCTGGAAAGAAAGCACTGGGGCAGGAAAATAAAGCTGATAAGAATGAGGTAAAATCACCGAGGGCTTGGATGTTGGCTGGGGCTGCAGCTTGGTGGGGGCTGGAGATGGAATCTCAGCTGGAGGTGGGATAAGGCAGAGCTGGACTGGAATGAATCTTCTGGAGCTGGAAAATAGAGCTTGAATAAAGCTTGTGGGAATGAGCTGAAATCGCTGAGTGTGGGGCTGGATCTGGATAAATCCCATAGGGCTGAGCTGAACTAGAGACACAGGGTTGGAGCTGGGATCTCCTGGAGCTAGGTGTGAAATAAAGACTCTGAAGCCAGAGTTGGAATGAAAGCACTGGGGCTGGAGAATAAAACTGGGGGGGGAAATGAGGTGAAATCACTGAGGGCTGGGATGCTTTGCGTCTGCGATACAGAGCCAGAGCTGGGCCATGACTGAGCCAGACTGGAATGCACCTTCTGGAGCTGGAAAATAAAGCTGATGGGAATGAGCCAAAAATCATTGCAGGTTGTGATCCCCTGCGGCTGGCCTTTACATAGAGACCTGGAGCCAGACCTGATACAGCACAGAACCAGGGCTGGATTGAGAGTGCTGGAGCTGGAAAACAAAGTTGTGAGAATGAGCTGAAATTAGTTGAGACTGGGGCTGAGCTGGAGCCTGAATAACAATTGTGGGTCTGGAGCCAAGACCATGCAGAACTGGAGCTGGCCATAAAGCTTGTGGGAACGAGCTGCAATCCCACAGAGCTGGAATAAAACCCTGTGGGGCTGAGCTGGAATTTCCCACTGCCGAGGCCAAAATAAGCTCTTTAGGGCTGGTAGTGCCCTGGGGCAGAGCAGGAGCTGAAACACCGGGTGGGGCTCGCAATAAAGCTTGTGGGGCAGAGCTGCAGCACAGAACCTGGGGATGGGATCTCCTGGAGCTGCAATAGAGATCCCAGAGCTGGTGCGGGAATAACCTCTCGGGGTCGGGCCAGGGCAGGGGCTGAGGCCAGGTCGCGTCTGGCGCATTTGGGCACAGCAGCCGTTTTCCGTCCTCCAGCTGTTCCTCCTCTATCCCCACCATTCCCGTTGGGAAGCGGCTCCAAGGACGTAGCCGGTTTTCCCCCAGGAAGCGGATTCCGTGTGCGGCAGCTCAGAGGGAAGCTCAGTTGGAGGCGCTCTCCCCCTTGGAGAGGAGCGGGGAGCTCAGCACAGCCCCGGAGCATCCCTCCCACGGGTCCAGCACCCCCAGAGCAGCTTGCGGCCAGCTCTGCCCGTGCCTGCTGTGGAGACCCGCAGCACTGGCTGACCTGTAGCTAGAGAAGAGTTCCTGAAGCTGCTCCTGGCAGCGAGTGTCTGTCTGTAGAGCTGCTTCCTGCCTCCGGAGCCTGGGGAAAGCACGCTTTTGGGTGGCAAAACCCCAACGCTTCTCCTTGCCATTACTGACAGGCCCCAGCCGTGGGTGCTGAGCCTGCTGGGGTGACGGGCAGCCCCCAGTTCCCTCACCCCAGCCCCACGAGGGAAGCATTTCCTCACCCCTTTAACCCACATCACTAGAGCCTGGGGAGGCAGAGGTTTCAGCAAACCCAGCCCAGAAGCAGAGCCCCTGCACCACTGGCTTTGGCATTTCATAAACAGTTTAATAAAGTTCAACATACAGATTTCTTTGTCTACTGAGCCTGCATCCACCAGGGAGCAGGGATGGCTTCTTGGCATCTCTCCCCCCATAGCTGCTCCTCAGGCTCCCCCATCAGCTGCGTTTCCTCTCCTCAGGCTGAGGAACTGTGCCACTGTTGCTGAGCATCCCCAGCGCCCTGTGGGGAGAGGGGGAGAAGCTGTTCCACCAAGGGCAGTGGGGAGGTCTCCACCCCCACAGGGCTGCCCCAAGCCCTCAGGTACATCAGGGACCTGCCCTAACCTCAGCTGCACCTCAAGGCTCCAGCTCTGCAGCACAGGAGCTCAATTCAGGGGCCTAGAAGCCACTTGCCTGCTCAGAGGATGCCCAGAAGCCTTGGCTATCCATTTCCAGGGTCTGGATCCCTGCTTCAGGGTCTCTTCTGTCCGAGAGAGGTTCCACGTGCCACCAGCTCAGCCTCTTGGTCCTCAAGCACTGGGGAGGAGAGCACAGGGGCTGCAGCCATGCTTGACTCCTCAGTGGTCTCTCTGCTCAGAGACCAGCACTGCTTCACCCCGGCTTGATACTGTTCTCCCCCCCCAACACAGACAGGGCCCTTACCAGCAGCAAGATGACAGGAACAGTGATGATGACGAGGCCACACACCACCATGATGACCACACCGTACTCCGGGAAGCCCGGCTCAGGCAGGGGTGGCTCCAGGGTGTCCTCTGGAGCAGAACACAAGGGGTTGGATCAGTGGGTGGAATACCAGGGTAGCACAGGACACAGGGCAACAACATCCATGAGACACCCTGCAGGAAGTGACCCTTCCCTCCTGTCCTCTGCCAGCCTGCAGCCCATGGTGTATTGGAGGCAGGGATGAGGGCATGGTTGCTGCCAGAATGGCCCTTTCAAATCAGCCCTTGCAAGCTGTCACCTCACCAGCCAGGAGGTGTCACCCTCCCCTTGCCCAAAGGACCTGCACCTAGCTAGTTATGGATCTAGGCTTTCGGTGTGCATAGAGCCACAGGCTTCTCTACCCATGCCCCAAAGGGATGCTTACCTCCCACAGCAAGGGAATACGGATCCACCTGGAAGTCTGAACCAGCCAAAGCCTTGTTTGACCCAACTGAGAGCACAAGCGCCTCCAACACTTCCAGACTGGTTGGAGCTGGGTGCAGGAAGACCAAATCCCCATGGCAGATCAAGGAGCCTGGCCTGTAGGGTGACGTGGGAAGAGCTCCAGCAGCCGTCAGTCCCATCAGCCCCCCCCCCCCCCCGCCCCGACACCACACACCAGTGCTGCTCAGTGAGGCAATGGGTCCGGATCTGCTCTTTGGGATGGCAAGGACATCCCCGAGGGTGCCTGCTGCAGGCCCTCGTGTGGCAGAGGTAACTCCCAACAGCCATGACCTGGCTGTTGATGTCTATGGGGAGACCTCCCAAGCCCTGCCCCAGCAGAGCCTCTGCTCCCACTCACAGGAATTCTCTTAGCAGCACTTGCAGGAAGCTCCTGTGGTCCCTCAGGGCTCGCGCCACCTGAAAGAGAGGTTTGGGCTCAGCTCCACACCAGCCTCCGAGAGGTTTCCCCCAGCCAGATCCCTGCTTCCACCTCCCCAGGGAAGAGGAGGACTCCCAGCAATGGACAAGGTGTTGGGACATCTGGTCTGAGTCATGTTTTGCTTAGAATGATCCTCGAGGTCCCTTCCAACGGCATTCTGTGACTGACGATGGAGCTGGGTCAGTCAGCACAGCAGGAACACAGGGCAGCTGTGGCCCTGCAGCACCTCCAGATGTAGTGTGGTGGCTTGAACCGCCATCAGCAGAGGTGCCAGCACCCTGTCAGGGATGCCTCAGTGCCAGCCTCCAGCAGGCACCAGCACAACACTGGAGATGTGGATCTGGTTCAGACAACCCCAAAGCAGTCCCTCCTCCTCCTCCCGTGGTTCCCAGTACCCTGAAGGACCCTGCTCCGCTCCCTCCAGCCATTCCTACCGCATCCCCAATGCCCGTGCTGAGCTCGTGGTGCAATGCAGAGAGCGGATCCAGGAGGTCCTCACTGAAGCGTCTGTTGGTGACGAGGAGGGAGAGCGGGTACAGCTGGAGGTGCAGCCTGGCTCCTGGGGAGGCAAGGTACGGCTGGTGGGTGAGCAGCGCTGGCCCCGAGCCCCACCAGCACACAGGGGCTGCCCTCACCCTCCAGCGAGAGCGAGGTCAGGTCCACAGAGCAAGCTTTCAGAGCCGTCAGGGCTTGCAGAGCCTCCGGAACATCCACATGGGCGATGGTGTCAAGGTAAACGTCTCCAGTGAGCTCCAGGTCCCCACTGTGGGTTCTAGGGGAAGAAAGGCTCTAAGCAAGGCAGGGAGGTGGAACAGGCTCCCCAAGCACACCCTGGCTGGCCCTGGTCTTTCATGGCTCCTCAGCCCAAGGACGAGGCTCAGGGCATTGCCGCCAGCCCCACATCACCCTCCCTGAGCTCCCTAGTGCAGCAGAGCTCATCCTTCCCACCCTTGCAGCATGGCTAATGCCACAGAGAGCACACAAAGGGTAGCAAAAGACATTAAATGAAGAGCTTTGGGCAGTTGTGCCCCATACCTGAGCTGGGTGATAGTGAAGTTCCTCACACGGTGAAGGGCACCAAGAGACTCTGTCACCTGGATGAAGGGAAAACAACTCACACCTTGCCCTTGCTTTAGGATGCGCTGTCCCATGGTGCAGGCAGCAGCCAGCCTGGGCCCATCCTCCCAGCATCGTCTTTGGGAAGAGCCCCCAAGGCTCACCATACCTTGCTGATCACCCCCCCCAGGGGGTCTGTCCTGCTCCTGCCAGGCTGGAGGACAGTGAAGGAGATGGACAGCTTCTCTGGGGCCAGGTTCTCCAGGCTGAACCCTGCAAGCGTTCAGACAGTTACACTCATCCCTGCTCCTTCACCGTCCTTGGACCTATCATCAGTCTTGAGCATCCTGTGCACTGAATACAGAGCCCAGCACGGCAGGGTGAGGTACCTCATCCTGGGTGAGGATGAGTGGCTTGTAGCGGTGGGAAGGGCTTGGCAGGACAGGAGAAGCAGGTTGAGGAGAGGAAGCCATAGGGTTTAGCAGGAACACTGGACCCCACAGGTCCAACTGCTGCAGATGTTGCCTCCAGCAGCCTTAACACTACAGGGCTTTGTATGGGTTGGGATGTTCAGGCTTCACCTTCACTTCAGTGCGGACTGGGCAGGTTCTGGCTTTGACAGAGGTACAGGGAGGACGCTGAGAGCAGCGGCTGTGCTCTGGGAAGGTCTCCATTGCTTACCGCCGGACTGGACAGACCGTGGCTCCAGCCGCCAGCTGAAGGAGCTCCTTCCTCTGCTCGCCTCCGTGACCATGGTGCGGATGAGGTGGGAGCTGGTGGGAGCAGGAGCGTCCCCCCGGAACAGAGCCTGCGCTCGCACCACCACCGAGCCATTCCTGCAGGGAGAGCAGGCCACAGGCAGCTCGGAGCCCCCCATGAACACCCACCCAAAGTCAGGGCTTCAGCCACCTGCAGGCAGGGATCCCTTGGGATGATGTCCCTGTGGAGGGAGCGCGGCCCCTCACAAGAGCATTTCACTGCGCAACCACTTCCGTCCAAGCCAAAGCCACCCCGCTCCACGTTGCCACTCACATGAACTCTAGGACTTTTGCCCGCAGGAAGGTCTCATAGATGGACAGCGTCTGGTTCAGCTGGAAGACAGAAGCACGTGTTAATTGGGCCCATGGGAAGGGGTATTCCAGGTCTCTGGAGGCGGTCCTGGCTAAGCTGACATAACCAGGGCTCCATCAGCATAGAGACAGCAGCCAGGAGGGGACACCCCAGCACCACCAGTGTACAACAGCCCCGATGGCTGCCCAAGTCCCACCTCAAGCCAGGAACCCCTTCCAGCTCCAGTGGTGGGATCTGCTCGTCTCCACCATGAAGAGAGCCCTCCGGCTCCTCACCCCAGCAGTAGCTCCTCAGCTGCACCCCAAAGCACCAGCATCCCCACCCGCCAACTCCTGCACTCACCAGCAGCATCACTTCCTCCTCCAGCCGCCTGTAGCTCTCTGAAGCGCTGCTGCTCAGAGCCTCCGTGTAAGTGATGCCCAAGAGCCGGAACTGCAAGGGCAGAACGTGAGCAGAAGAGGGGAGCCCGGAGGGGTGGGATGGAGCCGGGGAGCCAGGTTTGCCCGTGGGCATCAGCTCATATGCAGGGAGATGCTCTGTGGCTGCGGAGGGTTGCTGGGAGGTGACAGAGTGCCTGCACACGGGCTGAGCATCACAGGGCACGGGCTGGGAGCTGACTGCATGCACAGCCCTGGTGGAAGCCAGCGGGTAGGATGGGGATGGGAACGTGGTGCCAGCACGGTGGGCAGCACCAGAGCCATGCTCCAGAGTGGGCAGCTTGGAGCCTGGGCTGGCACTGGGGGGCTCTGGAGGTCCTGCTGGGGCAGCCCCCGTAGTGGCCTCATGGTGCTGCCCTGCAGAGGGTCCATCTGCGGATGCTGTTGTGAGGAAGGGGTCTGGATGCAGAGATGGCCCCTGGGCAGGTGATGCTGCAGCTCGTGGGGAGGGGGGGGTCACCACAGCAGCTCCATCCTTGTGGGAGGCTTCGGTCACTCCAGGCTCTGCTGCTGCGCTCACCCCAGTCACAGAGGGACCCACAGCACCGGGAGCCCTGGTCCAAGCTGGGGAGGGGTGGGCTCTGGTGGGTGCCATGGGCTGCTGTGCAGGGGGTGCAGATGGGTCGCTCGCATTCCCCAAGGTGACAGCAGGTCCCGCGGGCTCCACTGTAGGAAGGGAAGGAGCCAGGACTTGTGGGTGGGTGACCCCATGAGCCGGCGCAGCACTGGGGAAGGAAGCCAGGACCGTGCCCAGAAACACAGACCCATTTCCTGCAGCATCGGCCACGGCATCCACCGGCAGAGCAGCTTCTCCGTGCAGGAAGCTGCCAGCGGGCTGCGTGTCCCAGAGCACCTCAGGCGTCGCAGCAGAGGGGACCCACTCGGTGCCGGGATGAGCGGTGCTGGAGATGGACATCCCTGCTGCTGGCGGAGCTGAGGGCAGCCAGGGCAGGGGAGGAGCGGCCGTGTGGTCCCCACCCACACCACGCTCAGGGCTTGGCCTCACCTCTCCCTTCTGCCCGTTGCAGCTCCTCGCTGCGGCTCCGGCAATGGAAGCTCCACTGACTGCAGGCTGAGGAGCTGCGGTTGCGCCGCTGGGAGCCCAGGGAGGCGAGGTGCTGGCTGTGACCACAGCAGCGGGCTCAGAGCTCACAGCCAGGCTCAGATCAGCTCTGTGGGGCATGGTCCAAGGGCCCGGGGATGCCCCAAGGGCTGGTGTCCGCTCCTCTCTGCTCTCCTCCATCAAGCTGTGGCTCTGGGAGGGGATTCCCGTCACGGTCCACACTGACCCTGTGCTGTCCTCAGAGCTCCCCTCAGGGTGCCAGGGCTCTGCTGTGCCCGCAGCCTGCCCAACACCATGGGCTGAGGTCGTTGCATCGTGTGAGCCTGGTTCTGGGCCACGGGGACTTCCTGAAGCTGGGCCATGCCAGGAGCCAGGGCTGGGCTCACCCAGGGGCTGGAGGACCTGAGCAGAGGTATCAGGCACCCCTGTACCAAGCCACTGTGCAGGGGATGGTGTCACAGCCACTGCTGTGCCCAACATGAGCCCTTCCTGGTCCCTGGGTCCGGGATGCCCCAGCAGTGAGGGCTGAGCAGTCTGTGTCCCCTGGCTCCATCCCTCAGCATCCACACCATGGGTCAGGCTCCATTCCTCAGCATCCACACCATGGGTCAGGCTCCATCCCACAGTATCCACACCATGGGTCAGGCTCCATCCTTCAGCATCCACCCCATGGGTCACACTCCATTCCTCAGCATCCACCCCATGGGTCACATCTCCTTTGACCCCTGGGGTGCCCACCGAACCCATCAGCACCCTTCCATGCTGCTGCATTGCTGGCTCCTCACTCAGGCCCCTGTGTGTTGCCATCAGATCACCACTGGTCTCTCTCTGGGAGCCTGGCGAGTCAGGCCAAGCATGGGATGGTGCCAGGGGGCCCAGCAGGACAGCCAGAGACCCCAGGCCATAGGGCAGGGCAGTGGCAGACAGGCAGATGCCCAGCACCAGGAAGGCTTTGCACCGCAGCCCACCCACAGCAGCAGCCACATGGGCAGCAGGAGCCACATCCACAGCCCCTTCCCTCTCAGCACAGGGCATGGGTTGTGGCTGCAGGGCAGCAGTGTCCGTAGGGCCTGGGGGTCCTACCCCTCTGCTCAGCTCAGGAGAGGCCATGGGGAGAGCCCAGCTGTGGAGAGACACAGGAGGGGCTTTAAGCTGGGTCCCTCCAAGCTGCCCCCAAGCAGTGACAATCCCACACCCAAAGCACCCACACACCAGAGCCAAGGACATGATGCCCCTCGTCAAACACCTCCCTGGTCTCCAGCAGCACTGAGCAGCTTCCCCAGCTCAGGAAGCTTTGTGCTAGGGCTCAGCATCACCCAGGAAGACTCCTGGTGCAGAGCACAGCTGTAACCGGCCTTGGGGTCAGCCATTACCCCATTCCCTGCCCCAAACACCCACCACATCCCTGATAACCTCACCGGAGGCCACAGGATGCTCCAGCCCAGCAGCACCCCTTACCTGGCAGCACCCAAGGGGAAGAGAGCACCAAGCTCCCAGCCCAGCCCCGTGCTTTTATCCCATTGCCAAGGCCTGACAGTGGCTCCATTCCAGCTGCTCCCAATTCACACCCAAGCTCATTTGCACCACCCCAGGTGAAGCTCTTTCCCTCTGGAAGGGTCCCAGCTTCCCTCTGCTCCTCATTAAGCCCTTGGCACTTTGTTTCCCAAGCACCAGCTTGAGGATGTTTCCTATAACCCTGTATTCTCCTGCCAGGATGGAGTGATTTGGGTTGGAAACGTGGCTCGGGGTGCCTGGCTCTCAGGACCAGGCAGATTTCATGCTCCTCATGGAGGTTCATAAGGGATAGGGACCCCAGGGGACCGCTGCCAACCCTGCTGCACCCACAGCTCTCCTGACCAGCTTCTGATGCAGACACCTCCACCAGCACCCTCCTGCCCAGCTATCACCTGGGATGTTGCCTTCATGGGTGCTGGGATGTGCTCCCTTGGGTGCTCACCAATGGGTGACCCACGGGGCACCCCCAGCAGGCCTCACAGTGGACGAGTGGATGGAGATGGGCACATCACTCATGGCTTCTTGCAGGGAGAAGCTAGCAAGTGCATTGCAGGGGGGACCCAGACCTGTGGCTTGGTCTGTGCAAGCCAGCTGGGTGATGCTGGGTGCTGATGTGGGACCCCCTTTGTCCCTGGAAAGGTCCCGTGGTGCCCATGCTGGCAATTAGAGGCTGAAACACGGTGTCTGGAAATGAACCAAACCCTTTTATTCAGGCAAGGCACCTCTGAGAATCCATGTTCTTACAAAACATTAAATAAAGTGAAGGAACTTTCTTCCCTGGAACCTCTCATATATATATAGACATGTACAAAAAATACAGTATTATCAACAAGCACTGCTTTACAATGCTATGCACACGTGTGGATGGCAAGGAGGAGCTGCATCCCTCCTTCCCTATCCCATCCATGGCCAGCACATCCCAATGGAAAACCAGAAACACACGGATCAAACCACAGTCTCTGGTGGGTTTTTTCTTATTTTTAGTTGGGTTTTTTTGTTTGTTTTAAAATAAATATTTCCTGTAGTGAAATCCTTGTTTTGTTCCTCCGCACCCAGAATCAGCCGGAAGAACACCCGAGTGTTGAGTTTGTAAGGTCTCTGCTGTGTCCTGCTGCTGCAGACCGGGCAAGGGGCGTGCAGGCTGGCAGGATTCCTCCCGGGATCCCCATCAACTTTCCATCAGCCCATGCAGGGATGAAAGCATCTCTCCTCCCAAGGTCTCGCTGCATCGCTCCCCTCTCCCGCCCCTCCGGCATCACCACATCTCCATCTCCATCAAGGTTGTCCCTCGTGGATGCCCCACGTTCTCCATTGGGACAGCTGGGATGTGCGTGGTGCAGTGAGCTGAGCTTCTTTAGCTGCCTTTAAAGCCTTCTTGCAGCTATTTTAAGCTCCGATTGGGACCGAAACCCTTGGCCCCAACAAGCTCCCACAGGTCCAGCAGGGAAGAGGAGAAACCACGAGTTCAAATAAACCACAAGTATAAATTACTCTATTTTTATACAAACCCCACATAACCCGAAGGCAGCAGCTCCTTATAAAGGTAAATTCAGAACAGTTAAAAAATGTCTTCATTTAAAACAAGAAGAAAATCAGTCCTGGGACTCCCGACGTCGCGGTTCCCTTGACCGGTTGAGATGGGTTAAATCTCCAGAGCCCTGGAAAGATTCAAAGCCAGGAGGAAGGTTTCTTTATTGGGAACGGGGTGTATAAAGCAGCAGAGGCGAGTCAGAGCAGTCTTCTGTGGCCACTGCCATGCTCCCCTTGGAGCCGCTCCATTGGAACTCCAATCATTCCCTCCTGGTTCTCCAGCTGCAGCCGGGCTGGTCATGGATGGAGGTGGGAGATGCTCTACAAGATGAGGCATGGAAAGAAATGCAGCTCCAGCTGCTGTGAGGGGCTTGAGCGCATCCCTGTGGGTACCACACCAGCCAGGGCATCACCCCGGAGCATCCCTGTTCCAGGCATCAGCATCCCGGGAGGACCTGTCCCCATCCTCAGCATCTGCATCACAGGCAGCTCGGCTCCTGCCATGGGCACATTCCTTCATGCCTCCTTTTTCTTTGTGCTATCCATAGCTATCACTTTGCCATCAGAACCTCCATGCCAGGACTACCTGGGGAAGAAAAGCATGGTTAGGGAGGGCAGGGTCTTCACCTCCCCATCCCAAATAATCCCCCCTCCAGCCCAGCAGAGCCACTTCGTGCTCCTCCCCAGCCAGCCCAAACTCCCCATCATCACAGCAAATGCACACAAATACACAGACAGTCACGGCACATGTAAATCCAAACACACCCACAGGAAGAGTGACCTACTTGGAGGGATTCTTGCCAGCCGTCGAGCTTGAACCTGGAAGAGATGAAGCTGTTGGCAACAGCCCTGAGCAGCAGCAAACCCCCCTGATATCCCCAGAATGACTTTTCTCATCCCCTGGCTCCATCACCACCCCCAGCTCAAGCCTTCCTCCTCCACAACCCACAGGGGAAAGCTGAATCACCCAGGATGGTTTGGGTTGAAGGGACCTTAAAGCCCCTCCAGCTCCAACCCCTGCCACGGGCAGGGACCCCTTCCCCTAGAGCAGCTTGCTCCAAGCCCCTGTGTCCAACCTGGCCTTGAACACTGCCAGGGATGGGGCAGCCACAGCTTCTCTGGGCACCCTGTGCCAGCGCCTCAGCACCCTCACAGGGACCAAATGCCCACAGAACCCTTGGGAGGACCAGGATGCTGAGGGACAATGCAAGCCGATCAGCTGCATCTTGGGAGGCCGATGGAGCTGGAGCTTCCCTGGAGGAGTCCCAGGGTGTCCCCAGCCCTCCACAGGAGATGCCGGGCTGCTTACCCAGCTGCTGCTTGATGGAGTTGTGCCAGTGGAGGTTCAGCAGGTCCGGGTAGATGTCAGGGAGCTGCTTGAGTGCCAGGAGCTTCAGCATGCGCAAGGTGCAGCTCTTCAGCTCCAGGTCCCTCAAGTGCCTCTCCTCCGAGAGCGTGGTGGGGCGCAGCTCCACCTTGTGCTCCTGCAGCACTTGGTCCACGGAGACGCCAGGGAGCTTGGGGAAGAGCTTCTCCTTCACCACGTGGATGGGGATGAAGACGGCCCCTGCCCGCACCACGTGTGGGAAAGGACACGAGGGAGCGAACATGAAGGACTCCAGCTGGGACAGCAGGTTGGCGAGGAGGGCAGGCACGTCCTGGAAAGCCAACCAGACCTCCTTGCCCTTGGCGGCCCTGTGATGCTCGGGGAGCCTGGAGCCGTTCTTGGCTTCCAGGGGGGATTTGGGCGCCGTCTCCCCCTGCTCCTCCGCCGGCTCCGCCTTCCGGAGCCACTCCCGCAGGCGCTGCGGGGAGGAGCTGGTCACGGAGCACGAGAGGAGGTCGCAGAGCCCCGTGTGCAGGGCGGTGAAGCAGTGCTCGGCAGAGGGCACCGGCCCCGGCTCCTCGCCCGGCGCCGAGCTGGGGGGCTCCGGCAGCGCCAAGGGGCTGGGCTGGGGGCCGGGCTGCGGGGAGGCAGGGGGGGAGCTGCTGCAGGGCGCTGGGCTGCACTGCGGGCTGCCGGGCGGAGAGGGAACGGAGCTGGGTAGAGCAGGAGTGGTGCTGGATGGAGCGGGAAGGGTGCTGGGTAGAGCGGGAAGGGTGCTGGATGGAGCGGGAATGGTACTGGAAAGAGCAGGAATCGTGCTTGATAGAGCAGGAATGATGCTAGGTGCAGCGGGAATGGTGCTGGAGAGAGTGGGAATCCTGCTGGATAGAGCGGGAATGAGGCAGGACAGAGCAGGAATGGTGCTGGATAGAACGGGAATGGTGCTGGATAGAACGGGAATGGTGCTGGGTAGAGCAGGAATGACACTGGATAGAGCGGGAATGGTGCTGGATAGAGTGGGAACGATGCTGGGTAGAGCAGGAATGGTGCTGGATGGAGCAGGAGTGGTGCTGGATAGAGCAGGAATGATGCTGGATAGAGCAGGAATGGTACTGAATAGAGCAGGAATGGTTCTGGATAGAGTGGGAATGGTGGTGGATGGAGCAGGAGTGGTTCTGAATGGAGAAGGAATGATGCTGGATAGAGCAGGAATGGTACTGGATAGAGCAGGCATGGTACAGGATGGAGCAAGAATGGTTCTGGATGCAGCAGGAGTGGAGATGGATGGAGCAGAAATGGTGCTGGGTGGAGCAGGAATGGAGGTGGATGGAGCAGGCACGGTGCTGGATGGAGCAGGAATGGTGCTGGATAAAGCAGGAGTGGTGCTGGATGGAGCAGAAATGGTGCTGGATAGAGTGGAAATGGCTTTGGACGGAGCTGGAATGGTGCTGGATGGAGCAGGAATGGTGCCTGATAGACCAGGCATGGTGTCGGATGGAGCAGGTATGGCTCTGGATGGAGCGGGAATGGTGCTGGATGGAGCGGGAATGGTGCTGGATAGAGCAGGAATGGCTCTGGATGGAGCAGGAATGGTGCTGGATAGAGTGGGAATGGTGCTGGATAGAGCAGGAATGGCTCTAGATGGAGCAGGAATGGTGCTGGATAGAGTGGGAATGGTGCTGGATAGAGCAGGAATGGCTCTAGATGGAGTGGGAATGGTGCTGGATGGAGCGGGAATGGTGCTGGATGGAGCAGGAATGGTGCTGGATAGAGTGGAAATGGTGCTGGATGGAGCAGGAATGGTGCTGGATAGAGTGGAAATGGTGCTGGATGGAGCAGGAATGGTGCTGGATAGAGTGGAAATGGTGCTGGATAGAGCGGGAATGGTGCTGGATGGAGTGGGAATGGTGCTGGATGGAGCGGGAATGGTGCTGGATGGAGCAGGAATGGTGCTGGATGGAGCAGGAAGGGTGCTGGGTGCAGCTAAGGGGGAGCGCAGGACCAGGAAGGAGGCCGACCTCTGGAAGCTGCTCTTGTCCCAAGAGATGACCCTGACCAGCAAGGGGTCCCTCTGGAGCTGGGTTCCCGCTCGCCCTCCCGCCTCCCTCTCTTCACCCTTTTCCTCCTCCTTCCCCTCTTCCCCATCCAGCACCCAGATGCTCTCCCCGACTTCCACCCATCTCTTCTTTACGCTGAGGTCCAGCGCCCCCTCCTCAGAGCCCAGGGCCTGGGGCTCAGGCTCTGGCTCTCCAGGGACCCCCCTGCACCCGCTCTCCCCTTGGCCCTGCACCACCCCTTCATGGGCCAGCTCCTGGCCGGCCGCGGCGGGCACCGTGTCTGGTGGGTCCGCGTCCTCCCACAGGTGCTCCCTGCAGAAGGAGTCCGAGGCCTCGGCCTCCTCCAGGAAGTCTCCATAGGATGCCAGGCTGAAGACTTTTTTGATCACTGGCATGGGCGGGGAGGGAGGAGGAACCTCGCTGCCCCTTGGGTCTTCCGGCCCCTCTGGCAGGGATGCAGGTGGAGGAGGAGAGATGAGATCCTTGGTTGCATCCTTGACCTTGCAAGTATCTCCTTTCTCTATGATGATGAGAGCCGGTGGTCCCTCACGGGGGGTCTCCTGGGGGGCCGGGCTGGCTCTTCTCTCTGGGTTAGCAGGCTCCTGCTTCCCTAAGCCCCTTTGTCCTTTGGGAAAGGCCTCTGGGATCCCACCGGAGCCCCCAGGCGCCTCCTGGGCGCAGACGGGTTGGAAAGCACTGCTGTGCCTCACCACCCCTGGCCAACGGGGACCTTCTGCCTGGTGCTGCTCACATCCCGGCTCCATGTGGGCTCTGGGGGTGCTGGATGCAGCCGTGCCACCGGGACTGAAGGCAAAGCTGGAGCTCAGCACGTACTCCTCTTGCCTCGATGGCTTCGCATCCCTCGGCAGCGCCGCTGGCTTGGAAGGGGGCAACACCACTGCACTGGTTGCCCTTGGCATGTAGGTATCCGACGGGGTGGGGAAGAATCTCCATGGGGCTTGGGGCCTGAGGTAAGTGCCGGGATAGGGCTCCCTGCTTCCCTCAAAGCCAAAGCCTCTGTAGGCACAGGGCTGTGCCTCCATGTGGGGTGCCGGTGGGGGGAAGAGGAGGGGAGCTTTATGGAGGGACGGATAACACTCGGGTGGCCTCTCCTGGTACCCGGTGCTGGTGGCGGGTGGACAGAGCTTGTGCCAGGGCTCCGGGCTCAGCCTGTGCGTCTCAGGCACCTTCCTCTGGCTGGGGGGACTGTCATCCAGGAACGGGGATTTGGGGGGGCTCCGGTACTGATGAAAGGCAGCATAGTAGGGGGAGAAGGCAGCCGGGGAGCCCACCTTCTCCCTGGCGGGCAGCACCATGCCGGGGTGCAGCGGTGGGAGGCTGGGGTCAGCGTGGGGTCCCCTCCTTTGCTCCCCCCGGTGGAAGGGGTGGCTGGCAGCGGGCAGAGCCCAGTCTGCATTGCCTGGTCTCTGCTGCAGCGACTGAGCCACCCTGAGGTCCATGAAGTATGCAGGAGCCCTGTACATGGGCCTGGGGACAGCCAGGGTGGGTGCCCTCTTCACCATTGCCGGGTGCCTCACCAGGAAGGGGTTCCCTGGCCCCACGCTGCCCCACTTCTCCCTGGCCACCACCGGCTCCGGCACCAGCCTGTCCCTGCCCATCTCAGCAATGGGGGGGGGCTGAAGCCCAGGTCCCACACTCTCGGGTGGGTTGGGGGGGCAGCACTCGCCTGGTCCCTCCACCGGCATGGGCTGGCTGCTGGCACCGGTGCCGTAGTGCAGGTGGGGAGGTGCCGGGCTCTGTTGCATGTGGGGCGCCTTGGGGCCATTGGGGCTCTGCAGCGCGCAGGCAAAGTAGGAGCCCTTGTAGTCAAAATGGGGTTTGGAGCCCGGTTTGCAGTGGCCCGTGGGGAAGCTGGCGCCGGGGTCCTTCTCGAGCCGAGGCAGCTTGACGAAGATCACAGGCTCCAGAGGCTCCACGTTACGTTTTGAGGCCATTTGTACGGTGCTGCCAGTACAGTGCGAGGTGGGAGAGGTGAGCTGGCCTTCCTGAGCGGGAGAGAGGAAACAAACCGTGAGCACAGCGAGTCCCCACGGCGAGCACGCAGCCCAGGGTGGAGCAGCAATGGGGTGATAGGGGCTGCCAAGAGCCCCCCCGAAGTCACCTTGCCATGTGCTCACTGGAGAAAGCATGTTGCTTCCCATGTGCAGCTCTTCCTTATGCAGCTGTGATGCTCAGCATCACACTGGGAGGCTGAAGGAGAGGAGGGAAAGTCCTGCTTGTCCCACCGTCAGCCTCGGCCAAGCACAACAAGGACTTGTTTCCCTTCTCCCACCCTCCTGGGATCTGGCAGAGATCCTAAACCTACCCAACCCACCCCAGCTGGGAAGCAACATTAGATCCTCAGTGGGGAAGCTCGGGATCAGCTCACGGGGACCCTTCCCCCTGGCCTCTCCTGCTTTGGGGCTCTGGCCTACAGCGTGCATGCCAGCAGGTGGAGCTGGCAGACCGTCCCAGCACTGCCCTGCAGCACTCCCCTTGAGCATCCTCTGAGCATCGCAAGGATGCCCCCAGCATCTCCGGCCATCACCAGCATCCCCCCAGTACCGCCCTGCACCTCCCGAGCATCTCACTGAGACACCTGAACACCACGTGAGCCCAAACAGCATCACTGAACCGTCTCCCGGTATCCTCCCAGCATCACCTGAGCATTGTGTACATCCCCCAAGCAAGCCCCAAGACCTGCCTGAGCATCGCTGGACCACGGCTCAGCATCCTCAGCGTGGCCAAACATCACCCTGCATCTCCAAATGTCACTCAGAATCTCCCAGCATCCTCCAAGCATGGCCTGGCATCTCCCAGCCCACGGTTGGAGCTACTACAACGAGATCTCAGGCCTGTTCACACACACACATACACACCCATGGTTTCTTTTTCCTTTCTGTGGCAGGAATTAGGAAGCAGAGGAAGAGTGTGGAGATAAGATAAAAAGCTTGTCCACAGGAGGGAAACGGAGCTGATAACTGGGGAGACCTGTGAGGGTGGATAAGGGACCCGAGCACGGCTGGAGCCCAGAGCTGCACACAGCCCTCTCTGAGGAGCACCCCACTGACACCTCTCCATGCAGGCAGAGCCCTGCCAGGCCCATTCCAGCCACAAACAGGGCTCCCGGGTCCACCAGCCCCCCAACTGCAGCTCTGCCCCCTCCATGGCCCAGGGAGGGACCAGGGGACAGCCCAAAGGCAGAGCTTTCCCCCAGAAGAGCAGCTCTGGGGTGACCAAGCAGAGCAGGGTGCACCCCTCCACTGTTCCTTCAGGTTGGGCTCCTTTGCCAAACCTCACCAACTCCTTGCTTTCCAGGGAGGATGCTGCCTCCCCTTTGGAGGGTTGGTGCAGTTGAGAAGGAAGCTCCTGTCCCCACCTGCACTCTCAAAAGCAGTTCCCCAAATAAAGGGGTTGTGGGGCAACCACATCATTTCCAAGCTTTATCCTCAGGAGCCTTGCAGTAACTTCCAAGACATCCAGAGGATCATGGGATGGTTTGGGTTGGGAAGGACCTTAAGATCATCCAGCTCCAACCCCTGCCACGGGCAGGGACACCTTCCACTAGAGCAGCTTGCTCCAAGCCCCTGTGTCCAACCTGGCCTTGAACACTGCCAGGGATAACAGTACCAGCCAAATTTGCCATCTCTTAGATCCTAGAAAAATGGGGAGAAAACCCTAAAAACCTCCAACTGGTTTATTTTCCTTTCCCCATCCACGAGCCCAAGAGGGATGTCTCCAGGTGGCTAGTGTTTAAATCCTGGGAGATGCTGTGTGGGATCCCTTCCATGCAGTGATGATGCTCAGGGTGGGACAGAAACCCGGGATCTTGTGACTTCCGACATTTCCCCTTTTGCTGAAGCTCAGGGATCTACATCCCCGCGGTGGGGACGTTGCGCAACCGGCCATGCCATTGTGTAGGATTTGGTGACGCTGCAGGATTTGGTGTCGTGGGCAGCGCTGGTGCAATCACCCGTTTCCAAACCCCACTGCAGCAGCGGGAACCCCCCTTCAGCAGAGAAGGAAAAGGACTCATAACCCCCTTACAAGGAGGCTTTTTCCCCTTGGGAACACCGATGCAGTGGGAAAGGGAAGCAGGGGTGGCCAGCTCCGGCTGGCCTTGCCACAGGGATGCAGAAGTGAGCAAGTCACCTCCCAGCTGCGGCCGGAGCCAGGCACGTGGGTGCTCTGATGTCTGCTAAGGTTGAGCTCAGTAACCTCATTAGGGCGAGAGCATTAATGGGCTCTCTCTACGAAATACACTGGGGCTTTGCTGGGCTGGCGCCATCCCCACACCTGCGCTGTCTGCCCCAAGAACACGGCTCTGCTGTTGCCATCACCATCAGCCCGCTGGGAATATCCCCTTGCAGCCTCCTTCCTCCCCCCCCACCGCAGCCACGGGAGAGCTCTCAGGGCCGGGGGGAGGCATAGGGAGGAGAGGGGCACAGGGGGATGAGGGGATGCCGGAGTCAACACTAACACGTGTAGCCAGTGCTTGTGATACCGAAACCCCACAGCTGGCGAAAGCAGTGGGTGGCTTAAACACAGCCCATTCATTCTTCCTTTTTAGTACTTTCAAACTTGTTTTTCCCCTCCCTCTTCTTCGCAGGGGGTTTCCCATAAGGGACTGTTTGGCTGGGAGGTAGAAAAGTCGAACCAAACGAGAAGGAGCACGCAGCATCTCCCAAACGGCTGCGTGCAGGCGAGACCTCCCCGATAAGCGCTCGCAAGCCGCAGCCAGCTTTATCTGCATCGTTTCGGGTGTTGGAGGCGCACGGGAGGGCTCCTTGGCCCGTTGGGTTGTCCAGGCACCCCTTTTTGCTCTCAGAGCTCGTCAAGCGCGGCCGTGCCCGTTATCGCCGGGGCACAGCAGACGGCTCCCGGTACTTCCTCCCCAGGATACGATGTCCTAAAACGCGGCAGTGAGAGGTGGAAGCCTCTCACCGCAGCCTCCCGCCTCCTCCGTTGCCACGTGATGCGGAGAAACAACCGCCAGCAAACAAGGATCAAGAAACAAACCCCCAAATCTCCAAACCCCGCTGACACCAGGACCCCCGAACCCATCCCACAGCACCCCCTCCGCCCCCCCACCCTAGGGTCCGAGGGTCCCCGGCGGAGGGGCTTTTCCCGTGTCACCACGAACCACGACCGTGTCCCGCGGGACGAAGGGGGTTTCCCGTCCGGCTCTAACACCGGTTCCAGTCACGGGGACGCTGGGTCCCAGCCCAGGGATCAGTTTTCCCACCTCCCCGATGGGTTGGGATGCGATGGCCAGCAAGGCTCCCCCCGTTGAGGCCATTTGAGGGAGCAAACAAGAGGCCTCACCGGTCCCAGCTTCCCCATTCCAGACCTTATCCCTCTTCAGAAAAGTTTGCAGCTCCCGAGCTTTTCCCAAGGAGGCAAAAGCCCGCTTGGAGCTTTCACTCGGTCCAAGGCAGTATCCTCGCGGAATGCCTGCAGGAATCCCTGCTTGCACTGCACATGAGGTGGTTGTTCCTCAAAACTCCCCCAGAATAGTCACTTTTACATAAAAAAACCTTAATTAAGCGCGTAACAGCCAGCACAGCGACTGCCCCCAGAATAACCGTGTTTAACGGGTTAAACCCTTATCTACACACGAGTAAAACCGCATCGATCCAACGCCATGGGTGTCACGTCCCAGGCTGGCCGCAGGCACCGCAGTGACACGCTCCTGCCCAGCCACGAGGTCCGGGCTGGACGCCCGCGTCCGTCCTTCTGTCCTGTCCACACGGTCACAGCGTTTGTGTAGGCAACGCTGTCGCGATCACCACCGTAACCACCGGCGGGTTCCTGCTCTCGCAGGGGAGCGAACGCACGTTCGGCCCCGCGGACACTTCGCTCATGTGGCTGATGCCCAACGCGTCCATGGGGAAAAATGGGGGTCAGGCTCCGGAGCCAGGGATCTAACCCCCTAAACCCCATTTTTCCCTGCATCGCGCAACCAGAAGGAGATGATCTGGAGCAAAACATCCGCACAGGGTGCAGGAAAGCTTGGGGAAGCCCTCCTGCAGCCATGCCCCCGGCCAGGAGCTGCACCCTCCGGGGGTCCCCGCAACGCGCTGGCCCCGGTGCCCTCCCCTGGTCCCTGGCCCCATCCCACACTCACCTCCGGCTGCGGAGCGGTTCCTCCCCCGGAGCATCTCTACGGGGCCCTGCGGGGGACTCGGAGGCGGGGGGGGTCCTGCTGCCGCCTCCCCGCTCGACCGGCAGCGTGCATCGTGCGGAGGAAGTGGGAGGAGGAGGAGGACGGGCAGGGAGGAGGAGGGCTGGGTGTGCGTGGGGGCCGGCTGGAGGAGGGGATGGGACGGGACGGGACGGGAAGGGATGGGATGGGATGGGATGGGATGGGATGGGATGGGATGGGATGGGATGGGATGGGATGGGATGGGATGGGATGGGATGGGATGGGATGGGATGGGACAGCCAAGCCCAGCCCAGCGCGCCACATGTGCAAGGAGCTGCTCGGGTCTCTGCCCGCCCTGTCCCGCCTGGCTCTTCGGTACAGGGTAATCCTCCCCCTTAACCGCTCATTTCGGGGAACCTCTGGTATGGAAGGGTTCCTATTGCAGCAAGCCTCCCATTATGGAGGAATAGCCATATGGGGAGTCTATAGTCGGGGAACTCCCGTTAAGGGATTTCATTGTACGGAGCCCCCACTATGGGGAGCTTGCACTGAACTGAGTCCCGATGTGGGGAGGACTCCCATTATAGGGAGCCCCCATTGTACAGAGCCCCTGTTAGGGAGGAGTCCCCATTATGGGGATCCCTGATGGTATGGAGCCCCCATTAAGGGAAGACCCCATAGTAGCAAGCCCCCATTATGGGGATCCTTCACTGCAGGCAGTCCCTGCTTTGCTAGGAGCCCCGGTTAAAAAGGAACCCCAGTTAGAAGGACCCCCCTTACAGAGGAGCCCCAGCTCCTCAGGGATGCCCCCCCACCCTGATGCAGGCACCGATGCAGCTGCAGGGTCTGAGCCTGGCTGGCTGCGAGT